GTACTGGTACATGCGATTTCTGAAGGTGTTGATGCATGGTAAGGATCCAAAGAGTTCCCAAAGACTTCCAGGAATGAATTGATGGCCTTGAAACACCTTGAATCTCCTTGTAGAATGAAATCTGATTCTCACTTTTTGTCCAAAATTTGAGTTTTTGTTCTTCCAATTCTCACGACCAATCCCTGTTTCCATGCTTTGGAAATGTTGTCTATATATAATATAAGCAATTAGGTTAACAAAACTGTATTCAATCTTTGCAAATTGTTAAGAAAGATTTGATTTTTTTCCTTGTATGATTTGTTTCTAAAACAAACCAAATCATGATCTTTTCCAATCAATTAGCCCTTGCACGAATTTTCCTGATTTGCTAGCTGTTCATGGACTCATAATGTGCTTACAAAATAAAATCTTTGATTTTATTTGATTATTCCACTATTTAAATTGATTTATTTTGATTTAAATGAATAAAAAATAAAAAATAAAAAATAAAAAATAAAAATAATGAAATAATAGGTGGATAAGCTCAGGGGTCGTGGGTCATCTTAGGAACAAGTTTCAAACAAAAAAACATGGGCCCATTTGGAAAAAAAAAAGTCATTTTGATCAATGTTGACTTCATGCACATTTCCAAAAATTTGTCAACTTTAGAAATGCACATCTATCTCATTTTTAAACCTTAGAAGGTGTTCTTAGACTTTTTAGAAATCTTAGGATGTACTCTAAACAATCCTTTTGGTTTCATCTCAATTGGATCTTCCATGTTCATGTAAGGAGCTTTGACCCAAAAGGTGTTTTGTTGACTTTTTGAAATGACCTATAATGTAGGAACTTGTATCTTTTGATTGATGCATTTCATGACCTTGAGTGATGAAGAGAAATTGTAAGGAATTGAATTCTCTTCAAAATGTGCCTTGGTTGGAAAATTTCTGATTAAGTATGAGAAAATTATGCTTGGTCAAAGTTTGGTTGACTTTTCCTATAGAAACCCTAAATTGCCATTTTTGACTTTTGATGAGTTAAGAGAATATCTTGAGGAATCATGATCAACCCTTGACCAAATGATGGATATTACTTCAAAATTTTGATGTTGACCAAAAATCTTGAAGTTTTGGCTGTATTTGGGCCACAGTTGACTTTTGACCTAACATAGTTGATTTTCAGGCATCTGAGCAGTTGACTGAGAAAACTTGTAGTGCAAGGCATGAAACTTGGCATGGATGATCTTGGGGGAATATTAGGGCAATGGAGACCATTTGGGACCCTTGAAACTCAACTATATTGCTTGAAATTGAAACCCTAGTTTTGAGCCTTGTTGTCTTAGGAGGAGGATTTGTCCAGTCAACCCTTAGTCAACCTTGAGCAATTGAGGACTTATAGAGGCATGTCTTTGAGTGAAATGAGAGAGAAAATTTTGGAGTACAACACTATTCAAGTAATATATGAGCACCACATGTTTTATATAAATAATGAGAGTATGCATGCATGTTAACAATGTAGACTTTTTCATTTGTCTTGCTATTACTTTATATGTTTGAAAGTCATGAATATGATCAATGTATTATTTGTTATTGAGTGAAAAATTACTTGACTTAAAAATCCTACCTTGTGAGAGTGTGAATCTTTTAACAAAACCCTTTGTGCCTTAGCCAATTTAAAAGAAAATTAAGCAATATCCACTACTTTCTCTTAAGGATAAGATAACATGTCAGAGCAAGAATATTTAAAAAACAAAAATTGGGGAGAGAACGAAAAAGGAAATATTTTGAAAAAGAAAATTCAAGTAGTTCTAGTGAAATGAAAGAAAAAAGTGCTTTGACATAGAAATTCAAAAATCAAAATCAAGCATACAAAAGAAAAAATATTCAAAGAAAATGGTTGTAAGAAAATGGACGTAAAAGAAAAACTATTAAAACCAATGTAAACCCCAACTACATTATAACCAAAAGAAAGACCTTAGTGATCCATGACTGATGGAATATCTGATAATACTATTTAAATGAAATGCAAAATATTTCTATAGTTCATGCATTGTCTAATTTTGAGGAAAACACTAACAATTAAAAGATAATCAATGAGACCATGATTCTCATGAATGATTAACAATTGATTTAGATAAATTTTAAAATATTACATTGGTCAAGCAAATGATTTATCTTGATGCTATTTTTGATGGATAGTCATGACAATGATTATGAACTTGCATTTAAAACGAATGTCATTCCATTAAAATAATTTCAAAATTTTTTTTGACCTAAGTCAGTCAACCTTTCAGGAAAACATACATTCAAAATATTTCTGAACCATTTGATTTTTTTTTTATTTGAGGAAAAAATAAAAAATAAATTAAGAAGAGTAGATAAGTGTCAATTTTTCATAAAATACGTAAGATCTTATTAACTTATTTTACAAGAAATCAATATAAAAAATTTTAATTTATCAATAAAAAGTGATAGAACATATGTTTGGACTTTGTTAACATATATTAATTAAAAATTAAAAACCACAATTCATGACGCAAAGATCAAGACAGAACAATTCCCTACAAAACAAGTACTAGATTATGATTATAGGCGTACCTAGCGAACACAGGAAACTAGATGGAACTTCAATGCTAAATACTCCATGATAAAGATAGGGTTTACTTGCTAAGCAAAGTGGCGATGCGCCCGACGTAGATTTTTAGGTTTGTGTATCTTTCATGCTCTAGATTTTTAGGAAGAAGTGTCGAATGAGCTTTTCTGATGAATGGTGGAAGGGCACCACCAGATACAACATCAAATTCAGCAGCCATGACCAATAGATAAAACGACTTCTACAACTGACATATTTCATTTCATGTATGTATTAGTAATTTTATTTAAGTTTGACTTACTAATATTTATCTTTTCAAAAAATATAATGTTTTTAATGATAATCGTTTTATATAATTATTTATTTATTTGATTGTTGTTTATGAAAGTTTTTTCACAAAAAATTGAAAAACAAAATATGAAAGTAAGTCCAATTTATTTATTTACAGTAAAATTGTTGCCCAAAATATTAAAATTAAAATTAATCATTATTTTATACCATTAAAATTAAATATAAAAGTGATTTATAAAAAAAAAAATTGCAGTTGTATGAACAATCACACTTTCACTTTTGAGATGGTTAACAACTATTTCAAAAGACTTCCGTCAAAAAATGTCAAATAAAATCATGAATAATGTTATCTTGACACCACCTTTTATATTAATACTTACATCTAAGCATTTTTAACTGTTTTTCTTATGGCGAATAATGTTTCTTTTTTTCAATAAAAAATAAAAAATAACATTTATTTATAAAAAATTGTTTTAAATTTTTTTTGGAACACAAATATAAAATTTGATTTTCAATAAAAAATAAAAAATAATATTTATTTAAAAAAATTGTTTTAAAATTTTATTTTGTAACATAAATATAAGATTTGTTATTAATCAATTTTATTAATGTATTAACCACAAAATTAAAATTATAAGTTTATTAATCATATATTTTAGTTATAACTCATTAATTAAATTGACTACATCATTAGTCAACAAAATACATGACATTAAACAAATTCTAATATTAAATTATAAAATATAATAATAAAACTTAAAAACAAAAATAAGTTTTTTTATAAATATTTGTAAGAGCAAAAATAATTTTTTTACAAGTATTTTTAAAAACTAATTTTTTATTTTAAAAAACATATTATTTGTAAACAATACTTAAATATAAATATTGGTGTATAAGATAGTGTTAAGATATCTTTGCAGTAAAATTACCTACAGCCATTGCAACTATATTTTGGAGACTAGAATCTTTAATTGCCGAGACTATATTTTAGAGAATAGAATTGTTAACTGTCACAACTATATTTTGCAATTAATGACGGTTCAATATATTAATTGTTGCAAATAGGATCCCAAAATACAATTGTGACACTTAGTTTTACAATATTTGGAAAACCGTCGCAATCCAATGCAAGTGACAATTAAAACCTCCGCAATACAAAAATAAAACGTCACAAAACCCTTTTTTTCTTGTAGTGTGACTAGGTTTATGAATTTATTATATTATATATCTAAATATAAAGTTCTAAGTGAATTTTTTTAAAATTAATTAATTTAAAATAGTTTTTTTAATAATTATATTTTCAAAATAAAATATAAAAAGTAGAGTTAAATATATTTTTTGTCTCTATAAATATCTCAAATTTCATTTTTAGTCCCTACTAAAAAAATGATATATTTTGATTTCTACAAAAAATTTTATTCGTGCAACTTTATTCTTTGTTATTTTCTACAATTTTGAAAAACTGTTTAATTACCCTAAAACTTTTATATTTTTGAATAATTTTTTCATACGTGTTTAAAATACTATAAAATGTATATTTACCAAATTTTAGAATATTTTAAAATGAAATGAATTAAATATGAATTTTTTAAATTTTAAAAGATATTGATGAAAGTAATATAGATTTCGACTTAAAAATCAAATTTTTTTAAAGAAAATTTAAATTTTTTATAATGTTCTAAACGTGTCTATAAAATAATCATTCAAAAATACACATCAGTTTAATAATAGAGACTAAAATTACGTACATAATAATTTTATAGAGAATAAAATATATCATTTTTTTTTTAAGGATCAAAATTTTTTTTAATAATTTATAGGAACCAAAAATATATTTAATCTTTAAAAATATACAAAATATGAAGTTCATTTATTCATGATGTTTTAAGTAAGATAGAGGAATTGTGAGAGAATACAAGAAGGATTCACATATAAAATACCACAATTTCTTAGACAAATGATATTAATTAAGATGACAGTTATACATATGGTTAACTCCCATAAAATTTAGTTTATTATTTGAGAACTATCATCATATTTAAAATAATGAGTCAGAAACTCATTACGTACATATTTTTTGGTATTATTTATTTATTCTAAAGCTGAACTGAAAACATATGATGATATGAAACATGCACTTAGTATGGTTTCTGGCCAACATAGTTACCAGGTGGGTCATAGTTGCAAGTAATGAAAGTTCCTCCATTGTCACAACTCACTTTGGCACATCCAAGACGAACTGAGTTTCTCCAAACAACTTGAGTATAATGGCCACAAACTTTACCAGCAGCACATGTATTACTATTATAATCATAGTCAGATTTCTCATCAACCCACAACTTCACTGCATCTGTGCCGCTCATGCCACCGGTGCTCATCGCGATATTCTCCCCATAACGGCCACCACCACCGGAGTGAATTAGTTGACAATCTTTGCGTTGATTAGCATAGTTTTGGGCAAAAGCAGCGACTGTGTCGTCCCAGGCAATACCTGAAACACCAACCTCAGATCTTGCTGCGTTGTGGGCGTTCACGTAATCTGCTGATGAGTCTTGTGCATATACAACGTGACTTCCCACAATGAATATTAATCCCAAGACACACATTACTGAAAGTGAACACATTTTAGCTATTACAAATAATTTCTGAAAGGATAAATGTTGTTTGATGAAAAATGATGGGGCTCTAGTGATGTATTTATAGGAACATTTTACATAGAAATTTAGTAATAAGTGGAAAGGTTATTCTTCATGTAGAAAAATAGGTTATTTTGTTAGAAAAATTAGTGGCATGTGCAATTGAATTTTTAAAATTTAAATTGGGTCCATGACCAAACTAATTATGCTTCTAATTTCCACACATTAGCATTTAATTATCATTAATGACATCAAATAGACTTTAACTTCTTGATGGCTAATTTATAAATTGCTCTTATTCTTCTTATTCAATATGGATTATTCAATAATCAAACCTTTGGACTTTTTGGATTCTAATGGTAAAGAAGTATTTGTAAATGACAATATTTGGGGAATATTAAGTTCAATTTTTAGTGAAAACAAGTTATTTTTAATTCGTCTTATTTATAGAAACTTCAATGTTCTTACAAAATTGTTTGCATATTCACCAGTTTTTTACAATCTTAAATTTATAATGCTCTATATATTTTTCAATTTGAAATTAATGAATATCTCTTTTTCATCTTTTTAGAGGTATTTCTTTTCTTTTGAATTTACTTTATTGTTGCTTTTGTGGTACTCTTAAAAAATGATACCTCCTTTCAATGTGCTTATTTCGACCATGAAACATTGAGTGATTCACAAGGTTTATAGCTGACTTGTTATCAACAAACAGCTTCATCTTCGATTCCATTATTCTGAGTTCCTCAAGTAGCATTTCGATCCATGCTGCTTAGCATGCAGTATATGATGCACCACATATTCTGCTTCACACGATGACAAAGCCACAGTGCTTTGCTTCCTCGAACTCCAAGAGATTGGAGCTCATTCGATCATGAAAATGTATCCTGCAATACTCTTCTTTTCGTCTTGATCTTCACTGAAGTCTGAGTCAGTGTATCCATGAACTTCAACATTTGAGTTGTTCTTCGATTTCTTTGGCAACAACACACCATGATCAATAGTTCCCTTTATGTATCTCAACACCCTCTTCACTGCAATGAGATGACATTCTTGAGGTTTTTCCATAAATCTGCTCAACAATCCTACACTTTGGCAGATATCTGGTCTAGTATTGCAAAGATACCTCAGGGATCCAATAATTTGTTTGTAAATGGTCGAACTTACAAACTCATAATTCGATTCCTTTTTCAGCTTTGCTCCAGTCTCTAATGGAGTAACAGTTGCCTTACAATTGCTCATATTGAACTTCTTAAGTATATCTTGAGCATACTTTGTTTGATGCAAGAAAACTCCTTCTTCGATGTCTTTGTATTCCATTCCCAAGAAATAGGAGAGATTCCCTAAATCATACATTTCGAATTCCTACATTAACGTCGACTTTACCTTCATTATGTCAGCTTCGCCTGTTCCTGTAATGAATAAGTCATCAATATAGAGCTATAAAATGATTCGATTGACACTTTCGACATCATTTACATATACTTCATGTTCAGAGACACACTTTGTGAAACCTGCTTTGATTAGGAACCTATCTATCCTTTTATTCCAAGTTCTAGGAGCTTGCTTCAAGCCATTGAGAGCCTTCCTTAATCTGTAAACTTTCGACTCCTGCCCTTTGACGTCAAAATCTGGTGGTTGAGTAACATAGACTTCTTCTTCCAATGGACCATTCAAAAACACTGACTTTACATCAAGTTGGTGCATTTTCCATCCTCTACATGCAGCTATCGAAACAACAATCTTGATTGTTTCAATCCTTGCAACATGCGCATATACTTCATCGAAGTCAATACCAGGTTTTTATAGAAAACCTATGGCCACCAGTCTTGTCTTATTCTTTGCAATCTCACCATCTGGCCTTTGTTTCACCTTGTAGATCCATTTCACATCGATTGGCTTCTTGTTGGTTCTTTAGACAAGCTCCCAAGTCTTGTTCTTCTAAATGGCTCTAAGTTCTTCTTTCATGGCTTCACACCAATTCGAATTACTCAAGGCTTCGCCCAAATCAATTGGTTCTGCTTCAGCCATCATCATGGCTTCTTCGATTAAGTCACCATCTGTATCAATTTCTTGATATGGAAACCTCTCATATCCAATCAGCCCAGTCGATTCATTTCTTGTTCTTGTGGATCTTCTTTCATTCTGCACAAGTGGTTCTTCATTTTGACTTGTCGAAGCTTCGTTCTGTTCATCTTCTTCGAACACAATTTTGACTGTGTCTGATTCTTGTCGAACTGAACTTCGACTCGAATCTCACCCTTTGCTTTCATCTACAAGAACATCTCTATTAATCACTAGTTTATCTTCGATTGGTGAATACGACTTGTATGCACCAGTTGAATGATAACCTATGAGCATCGTGACTTCACTATGATTATCCAACTTCTTTCTCAATTGTTCAGGTACATGCCTGAAACACATTGATCCAAAAACTCTAAGATGACTTACATTTGGCTTCGACCTTGTCCAAGCCTCATGCGGTGTCTTTTCGTCCATCTTATTCGTTGGACATCTATTTAAAATGTATGCTGCTGTCGAAGCTGCTTCAGCCCAAAATCTCTTATGCATATTTTTAGCTTTCAACACACATCTTGTCATATTCAGTACACTTCTATTCTTTCTCTCAGCTATGCCATTATGCTGAGCTGTATAGCATGCAATAACCTCATGCTCTATACCTTCCTCATTGCAAAATCTACAAATTCAGCAGAATTATATCACTACAAGAAAATTAGTGTTTAACGACACAAAAATTGCGACAGTTATGTGATAACTGTCGTAATTGACATATAGAGACAGTGTTTACGATAGTTGACACCAACCGTCCCTAATATTTATTTTGCGATGGTATAATTAACCATCATAATATTATTATTACGACGGTTAAAACAACCGTCGGCCCCCATTTAACACTTTTAACATTGATTTTTCACCAACAACTAGTCACGACGGTAAAATTAACCGTCCTAAAAGGCATATCACGACGGTAAAGCACCCGTCGCACCCTTAAACCTTTCACGACGGTAAAATTATCCGTCCTAAAATTCATTTCACGATGGTAAAACAACCGTCGCACCCAAAACCTTTAAAAATTCTCATGGGCACGACGGTAAAACACCCGTCGCCGTAAAAAAGTTAAAAAACTCTTAAAATACATAAAACATCAATTCACTTTCTACTCCTGCGTTCACTTTTTCTACTCACGAAGAAAATACAAGAATTCTCGACCTAAGATTCGTGTGGGTCTTCCAAAGAAGAACCCTAAAGTTTGAAACCCGCTTTCACCATTCCTCCCAAACTGTTACAATCCCTTGTAGAAGACCCTAAATGGGATGAAAAAGGCAGCGTCACACAAAACTACAATTCCTTCGGCGTCGTCAATGACCCTAACTCCCTCAAAATGAGATAACCGACGAATACCCAATCAAATACGAAGCCGAACGCCTCCCTCCTCCCTTAGTCGCCGATCTCAACAGTGACGGCAAAAAAGAAGTTCTCGTAGCTACTCACGATGCCAAAATTCAGGCTTTTCATTTCACTTGTCAAAATTCATACTTTATTTGCTACCCTTCCCAATTCATCATCAATGTAGTTTGTTAGGAATGATACAAACTGAGTTTTGTATCTATCTATGTTGGGTGTATCAGATTTTGGAGCCACATAGTAGGCGTGTTGATGAAGGATTCAGTGAGGCGCGCGTGTTGGCCGAGGTGTCTTTGTTTCCCTATAAAGTGCGTGTTATGTCTGGGAGACGGCCGGTTGCTATGGCTACTGGCTATATTGATCGTCATAAAATTGGGCAACCACATAAACAGGTTTTGGTTGTGGTAACGTCGGGTTAGTTTGTAATGTGTTTTGATTCCAACTTGCAGAAGTTGTGGGAAAATAATTTGCAGGTACAGTGTTTATGTTGGGCCGTATCTTGTTGTATTGTGTCGAGTTTACCAATTGTTTTAGTGGTTTTTACAGGAGGATTTTCCCCATAATGCTCATCATAGAGAGGTTTCGATCTCTGTAAGCAATTATACTCTGAAGCATGGAGATACAGGATTGATCATCGTTGGTGGGAGGATGGAAATGCAGCCACATGTATGTTTCACTTTCCTTGTTGTTTCCTGGTTTGTTATTCTTTTTTCCCAAGTACTTGTGTCAGCTTTCTATATGCCAATGGAGAGAAACTCACAATTTAACGTGGATGTTGTTTTTCATCTTTCATAAAAGTGGAAACTCTTAAGTTTTTAATAGCATAAGGTTGTAGCTATCTTGTTTTTCGCTGAAGATGAAAGTTCCTCAGCAATTTTATTTGATAAAGTATGGTAATAATGTGTGGGTTTGCTGCTACTTATTGAGTTTCAGAAGTTTCTATTTGTTTTGAGATTCTTTTATTGGTGATGATTTTGGAATTGTTTATCTCTAGTTTATCTTTGGAATTGTTTATCACTAGTTTATCTTTGGAATTTTGGTATTATCTTCTAATCTGATGGCGTAGCTTATGTTCATTGTTTCCACTTTCAGATTTTTATGGATCCTTTTGAAGAAATGGGAATGGGAGCCAGATTTGCTGAGCAGCAACGAAGAAGTGCTAGTGAAAAGGAGGTATAGTCCTGTTGCTAGTTGATGCTAAATTTTATTTTTTACTATCCTGTAACATGCTAATTTTTGGTTAAACTTTGAGGCAATTCTATTTGTTTTATTAACTTCAATTTAATTTCCGGTCTTCAAGGCTGACCTATTTTAATCTCCTAAGCAGTCAATTCAAATTCCCGTTCTGATATAAATAGGTAATATAAAAGTTCACCAAGTATTGGCTTGATAAAGCCAATAAATAAACTCTGTAAATTTGGACCTTAATGATCAGGTGGCTAAATAAATGGGAGTCAGTTTCAATCCTTTTGTTTAAATTTTTATTTTTTCAAAAAAACGTATGAGGTGATTTTATTTATTTTCCCATCTTAAGGTTGAAGACTCTTACTGTTTGTTGTGTC